GAATTTTTTTAAACATCTTTTTTTTTCTAAAATCTTGTCTGAACTCTGTCAAAATAGAGTATTTTAATAAATTCCTATTACAGTTTACTAAAACACTTTTCTAAAACACAAAATAACGTCTAAAATTCGTTTTCTAACATTGCTTTTTAATAAAGCAATGGTGAGGTCGTCGAAATCTGAACCTCCCCCCCTCCCCTCATCACATACCGTCACAAAATTACGAACCCCCCCCCCTTCCCCTACGAGTGTGACGTCATTTTTGGACGACCCCCTTAACCTACCTTTGGTCTTTATATCGGAGATGATATTTGAAAGAAGAACACGAAATGTTTATTGGATGTTTTGTACCTCGTAAGTTGTTATATATTTTTTTTACCCTAGGCTATATGATTGATCACTATACACAAACCGACATTTATTTTTCAGAGGTTGAGAGTGTAGTTGCCTGACTACTGATACTGAGGCTTAGAATACACCGACGAACCAGTAAAAATCTGTTTTAATCCGTTCTGAAAAGGGTTTTATTATTTCAGATTCATCAATAAATACATAAAAAAACAACAACACGAAAACAAAGTAAAGAATAGGAACTTCGTGTTTACGAATATTACACACAAAAAAATGCTCAGGAGGTTTCTACATAATTTTGGAGCCGTCTCACAATTGGAAGAAAATTGCATTGAAAATTGACGTGAAATCGATGGGAGTATTTTAGTCAGCTGGTCTGATCCAACTCATCATTTGATTTTGCTGGCGGTCGGCGGTGTTGTCTCCCATGTTATAATTAACGGCTAGCCACGGTTGAACTGTTGTTTAACAGCTCGTGACGGAAGGATGTTGATGGTTGTTGGCAAACCAGCGCTGATGTAAGCGATTTCAAGCAGATATGTAAGTGTAAGGACTCGGATATTTAAAGTGTCTTACATTTGGTTTTTTTGCTCCAGAAAATTAGTAAAAGAGATCAGGACTGTGGATTTCAAGTATTTAACTTGTTAAAATTAATTTGAAAGTATAAGATAATAGGCCTAGTAAATGTCAAGTATTTAACTTGTTAAAATTAATTTGAAAGTATAAGATAATAGGCCTAGTAAATGTCAAGTATTTAACTTGTTAAAATTAATTTGAAAGTATAAGATAATAGGCCTAGTAAATGTCAAGTATTTAACTTGTTAGAATTAATTTGAAAGTATAACATAATATGCCTAGTAAATGTCAAGTATTTAACTTGTTAAAATTAATTTGAAAGTATAAAATAATAGGCCTAGTAAATGTCAAGTATTTAACTTGTTAGAATTAATTTGAAAGTATAAGATAATAGGCCTAGTAAATGTCAAGTATTTAACTTGTTAAAATTAATTTGAAAGTATAAGATAATAGGCCTAGTAAATGTCAAGTATTTAACTTGTTAGAATTAATTTGAAAGTATAAGATAATAGGCCTAGTAAATGTCAAGTATTTAACTTGTTAGAATTAGTTTGAAAGTATAAGATAATAGGCCTAGTAAATGTCAAGTATTTAACTTGTTAGAATTAATTTAAAAGTATAAGATAATAGGCCTAGTAAATGTCAAGTATTTAACTTGTTAGAATTAGTTTGAAAGTATAAGATAATAGGCCTAGTAAATGTCAAGTATTTAACTTGTTAAAATTAATTTGAAAGTATAAGATAATTGGCCTAGTAAATTTCAAATATTTTACTTTAATTTTTTTGAAACTAAATGTGTAAGTGTAAGATAATAGGCTTCGCATATTTCAAGTATTTTACTTTAGTTTTTGTGAAACTAAATGTGTAAGTGTAAGATAAGAGGACTCGTATATTTCAAATATGTTGCTTTTGTTTTTGTGAAAGTAAATGTGTAAATGTAAAAGAATAGATCACGTATATTTCATATTTTACATTTACTTTTACAAGGGTAAATAGAGTAGTGTAAGAAAGTTGGACTACCATTCAATCAATAGTGGTCAGCATTATACAGTAATCGGCAAAAGCTACTGATAGGTAAGCATGGTATTAGTTTTAGTAAAGAACTAACTTAAGCGTATAATTTTCTATAAACTAATCTATTTTAGCTGCTTTGACTAGCTTTCTATTATATTTTAGTCTGTATTAGTTTTGTTATTTTTTTCTTTTAAGAAGTATAGTTTGTAAGATAAATTTCTTTAACAGGTGCAACGTATTCCACAATAAATTCCAGCACTTAAAAAATATAATCCGTCACTACGTATAAGACATGAACAGGTTTTTTAATGTGTTCGTGAATCTATTTACCTAGATTTACAGACTTTGAAAAATACCTTAACAAATGATGACCTTAGCTGACTTGACAAAATCAGATTTGATAATTATTATTATTTATATATACAACGCTCTTTTAATTGTTATTGATATTTATATCATTTCTATTAATACAATTATTATTAAATTTACTACCATGTTTAGCCAATTAGTAATATTTTATAACGATCATTATTAATTCAAGACTGTTAACATTATTATTATTATTATTACTTGTATCAGTATTTTATAACAATATCAATTAATAATAGTTTTTTGTGTTTGCTTTATCTGTTTTAAAGAGAACAAATTATTGATCTCTTCCTAGCACTCTTGATTCACATTTTTTTATTATTGTGATAAGTAATTACCTGACCTAATTACGATGCATAATTACTTCAGCAAACACTACTCACCACAGTTATAACTGAGATACCTGCACTTTCATCCATTCAGATCCCAATACTTCCTGCTAGATTAATTAATTAATGGCGCCTCTTGATTGGTGATCATCTATCGATATTTGTGGGCGCGTGGGAAATATTTAGATTATCTACAAGATAAACATTTAATTGTCTTCTAATACAGTATTGATTTCATATGCTTGTGATAGAATAGCTAATTTTATAGAACATCGTAATAGACGCATTTTTACAGTGACATTATTTTTTACTAAAACATATTATTAAAAGGGACAATGAGGCAATCATGATAACCACATATCGAAGCAGAGGAGGGGGAGGCTCGACATTTGTAAAGATATGCTTCGTGTGAGAGTGAAAAGCGAAGTTGGAGGGCAAGATATGACAATGTGAAATCCATTGTGTATTTCATAATGAACAATGTGAAAAACAAACCCTTTAGAGTTATTGTTGTTATTGGCTTGGGTATGGAAATGTGATGTCTTTTAAGTCTTGATTTTGGTCGTTACGTGACCATTTGTGACGGTATTGAAGTGGACACGAGAAAATATTGTAAATCTTTCTTCTTCTTCTTCTTCGTTCTTAATTATTAGTCTTGGAGGGGATCGAGATTTATCTGCCAGTGGGTTTGAACTCGAGACTTTGTTCGAATTTATCAACCATGAGCTTTTTGCCGACTCGACTACGCCTCCAACACAATTAAGCGTTACGTGTCAACTGGTTATGCGCCATTGAGGCCATTGACTCCGATTTCAGCCTGCTTTTCTTTTTGGATTTGCTTCCATAGCCTTTGTCCAACCAAGAACAAACTACAAGGCAGCAGTTGTTTTGATTTTGGAGTTGTCTCTCCTAGAAGAGTGGCTGTCCCCAGCTAACGAGCCTCCTCTGCCCGAGGGTTCGAACTCGAGACTTTTCGGTTTAGCAACCGTGAGCTTTACCGACTCGACCACGCCGACCCCCATATTGTAAATGACATGTTTTATTTTCATTATATAATATAAGATTATTTCTTATTTTTAGAGTACCCTTATCTACATCCTCGCATGCTTTAACTCTAAAAATCGCAAGGTTGGCCGCTTGTAAGTTCTTAACTTAAAATGTAAGGAATTTCAATCTTTTAATCTTTTACATAATACATAGTAATGGCTACAGGACATTACCCCCCTGGATATTTCCCCCGGACATTCCCCCCCCCCCCCCGTATTTACCCCCCGGAGCAATTACCCCCTGTCAATTACCCCCCCCCCCCCGGGAATTACCCCCCCCTCCCTCTCAAGTTAAAATCCTGACTCTAACTAGAATTTTATACCTATATACTACTTTAATCCAAACCTTAAGAAAAAGACCAAAGCCTAAGCATCCACCTTAGCCTAAAACTTCACACAAAACCAAAATCAAAGCTAGACACAACCCTAACCCTAACACTAGCTCTAACCCTAACCCTAGCCCTAACCCTAATCTTAACCCTAACCCTAGCCCTAGCCCTAACCCTAATCCTAATCCTAACCCTAACCCTAACCCTAACCCTAACCCTAACCCTAACGCTAACCCTAACCCTAACCCTAACCCTAACCCTAAAACCTAACCCTAACCGTAACACTAGCCCTAACCCTATCCCTATCCCTAACCCTAACCCTAACCCTAACCCTAACGCTAACCCTAACCCTAACCCTAGCCCTAAAACCTAACCCTAACCCTAACCCTAACACTAGCCCTAACCCTATCCCTAACCCTAACCCTAACCCTAACCCTAACCCTAACCCTAAACCTAACCCTAACCCTAGCCCTAACCCTAACCCTAGCCCTAGCCCTAGCCCTAAACCTAACCCTAAACCCAGCCCTAACCCTAACTCTAATTTGAGTCGGGGGGAAATATCCGGCGGGTAATTGACAGGGGGGAAATGCCCTGTTCCCCATAGTAATAGTTTAAAGCAGAGGCGTAGCGAGTAGGGGGAGGGGGCGGATCGCACCGGGTGACACCATTTAGGGGGGTGACACCAAGGCAAAAAATAGTACAATATATAGAGAAAAATTTAAGGGGGGGGTGCAAAATCGAAAGTTTAAGGGGGGGGGGGGGGGCAAATCGAAAATTGAAAGTTTGTCCGCGGGAAGAGTCGCTACGCCTCTGTGGGGGGGGGGGGGGTGACACCATTAAGTGCTGCACCGGGTGACACCCGACCTCGCTACGCCACTGGTTTAAAATATTATGTTTTTCTTTTAGAGTACTCCCAATCTTTTGATCTATTCTGTAGATATAGTAATAGTATAAGATAATTTTACTTTTAGATTACCTCCACCGACACAATGATGGCTGACGATAAGCAAGAGTGCAACTGCTCAACTGCAACATCAGCTTCAGCCAAACTCCCGAGTGAGTCGAGTTTTCTGTACGGCAACATCTGCGATGACCTCGAGAACGTCACGGACCTCGAGGTCAAGGTCACCTGCGGCACCGACCTCTACCTGCCGCCGTTTCTCTTCGCTCTGGGCATCGTCAGCAACGTCTTCGTCGTTCTGGTCATGCGCGGGGCGGCCTTCCGGTCGCTGTCGACGTCGTTTTACATGATGGTCAACGCCGTGACGGACGGTGCCAGCCTGCTGGTCAACCTGCCGGCTCACTACCTGTACGTCAACTTCCACACCTTGTTCCGCGGCGTGCGGGCGGGGAACTACATGTGCGCGTTCTTTAACGTGTTCGGCTGGGGCACCAGCGACCTCGGGATTCTCTTCACGGTTGCCATGACAACCGAAAGAGCCATCGCCATCAAGTACCCGTTAAAAGCGCCCTCCCTGTGTACTCCCCGCCGGGCGAAGTTCGTCGTTCTGGGATTGACGGTGTTTGAACTGGTCAAGCTGACCCACATGGCGTTCAGGTCGGTGGTTGCCGTCAACACCACCACTCACCTGTGTGACGTCGACCTCGGCGACCCGAAATTCGCCTTCTACGCCCAGGAAATCTTCCCGTGGTTCCACGCATGCGTGTTGATCGTCTGCTACACGACGACCATCGTCGGGAACGTCGTGATCGTTCGGAACATCCGGAAATCCAACACGGGAAAATCTACCGAAGGCCTCGGGAGAAAAATCTTCACCAAACCCAGCTCACAGAACAGGCAGCTGTCAATCATGTTAGTTGTAGACTCGTCATGTCTAATCGTCTGCACGCTTCCCTACGCTCTCTTCAACATCCTCCAGCGCCAGTTCGCCCTCCTGCCTGACGGAGCGGGCGGGAAGAACCTGACAGCCACCGCGTCCTTCTACCTGCTCTACGTCAACCGGTGCCTGAATTTTTTCCTCTATTGCGTCAGCGGTTCCAGATTTCGTCAGGAAATTAAAAATCTATTCCTCCGATCGCCGCTAACCTCTAGCAGATTAAATCTTGCACGATCTCAGAACGGTTTTAACAGTTCCGAAAGTGGGTCAAGACGCTCCAATGGTTCTAACTTTGCCAACAACCCCGCTATTGTTAGCTCCCCTGATCCCCCTGTTCCTCAAGCGGGGCCTTCTTATATACAGAGTGAGACCCCCTTACATCCAGATAAACTTATAACATGTTCAGAATCTGAAGGTGAGCGGTGTCTAGATCAGGCGCATGACAACTTAGCGTTCACGTCGGATACACTGAGTATACCAGCAGTTCATAAAAACGACGAAATTAGCGTTAAATCCTCAACGCACACAAATCAGATATACTCCATTACGTGAAATAATTCATGATTAATTTAATTTAATTAGCTTTGAATTGAGGCATTTAAAATAAATATTATTTGGTTAATAATTTCAATAGTTGGAGAATATTTTTTGCTATGTGTATGTTTTGTATACCTTCTGACAAATGGCGTATATATGTAACCATGTACTTTTATGTATAGAGGTAAGAGATAAAACCAATTTATTGCCAAGCTAATGGCAATCTAGAATTTAGTGTTTCGAAGATTTCAACTTACTGCAGGCAAGATGCGTAGGGCTACTGGAATTGAAACTTAAAACTAAACACAGTTTTTATACTGGGCTAAAATTTCTGATTATTCTATATTTCATTTTTTTTTTAATATAGATAAGCCCAGTGATGTCATCGAAATATTAATCATTAGTTTAATTAGAGGAGATTTAATTAACAAAACATCACGCGCCCGCCTTAAATCTGTTTCTGTCAAGTTATTAAGACAATAATGTTAGCCATTATCTACTGTTTTCGCCTATGGTATAATGTTCGGTAGGTAAATTGCGAGCCGGGGTTCGACAATCTGAAAGCCTGCGGGCCGTTAAGGAAATAGCCTCCGGCTTACTGAGTAGGTTGGGACAGAAAAAAAATGTTGACGTCACTCCAAGCATTCTCATTGGTCGAAACAAAAAAGGAGGGGTGGGGGAATTATATTTTGTATAAATTGTGCATACTTCAAACATCAGAAAGACGAGTGTTCACGGGCAAGAGCCTGGAACAGCCCGCAAACCATTGTGCCATAATTTATTGAGGAAGTTTAAGTCAGTTAACTTAGAAAAAGTTGCTGCCAGTTGTGTTTAGTTTTGTAGGAGAAATAAGACTAAGCTTTCGTATTTCAGAAAATGGATTCTGTTTTTCTCATTGTTTCAGCCTTGTGTTTTAATTTTTGGTTCACTTTTTTTAAAAGTTGCAATAAAGTTAATTCAATACTATCTAAAAATGTTAAGTTAAACTTCCTCAATTGTTGTAATGTTTAAAACCAAATTATGATAGAATGAATTAGAATTTATTTCGTGATATGTAAATAAGTTTACACTCTGATGAGATTGTTTGGACTGAACAATTTGACGGACGTAACAACAACAAAACTATTAGGTTTTGTGAAGATGTGGATGTGGATGTTCTACAACTCAATCAACAACTGTTCTATAGCCGTGCACATTAATTAACTTGCTTTACCGCTAACACAATTAGTCATTACATGTCTGAATTACAGAAAATCAATCTGATTAACATATTTAAGAATATTTAATTTTCTAAGTTTTGCAATATTAGTTATCATTTTTGAAAAAAAAACGTTTAAAATTGATTTTTACACCTTTAAAATAATGGAAGTTAAATGTTATTTTAGAATATTAGCGCCAAGTATGCAATATTGTATTGTGTTTGTGTTAGTTTTGTGTGGATGTTCAGTTTCGGTAAGTGGAGAAGTTCAAACAAATGATAGAACAAAAGAAGACGCGACTATTTTTAGACAGCCGATGAGTAATGTGAGTACAGAAAACTTTACATCAACAAACACGTTTGGCTTAAATGACTCTGTTGTCTTCTCAAGTAGCGGTGAATCTAACATCTCTGGCACCATGATTAAATCTTACAACACTTCTGATGATATTGCGAACATATCTAGCGAATATTTCAATACAAATGGCGATAATTTCAACCAATCTACAGAAAATTATAACTTAACCACGCAAAATTTCAATACAAATGCCGAATATTTTAACACAGATGGCGATTCTTTCAACTCATCTACCAAATATTTTAATTTAACTGCCGAACATTTCAACACATCCAACGAATATTTGAGCTCATCTGGTGAACTTGACACATCCAATGAACATCATAATTCAAACATTACTCCTACAGACGAAGTATTTGTACATACAAACAACGAAACCGTTTCGGTTTTACACGACGAATCTTTGCCAGAACACGAAGAAACTGGCCAGATAAACAAATGCGTCGATGACTTCTTCAGCTGTCGTGGTCGCTGCTTCCAGCATCCGACAGTCTTCTGCTCCTGTCATGTGACCTGCACACTCTACGGCAACTGCTGTCCAGACTACAGCGACCTGTGTCTCCCTAGCAACAAGGGCAGTCAACTCACGGAGTCTGTCACAGTTCGGTGTCTAGGTGGGAACCTTCTTGTGGCGTCTTGTCCACTCTCCTTTGACGAACCTCAATGGCAGAGGTTCAAATCCAGCTTGCCTGAAGAGTTTGTGTGGTTTTCTTATAAGGAATGGTTTTATAGTGCACAAGATGTAAACAATAGGTAAGTTTTATTATTTATTAATTTATCCCTATATTAAACAATAGGTAAGCTTTATTATTCTTTTAATTTATCCCTATACTAAACAATAGGTTAGTTTTATTATCCTATTAATTTATCCCTATATTAAACAATAGGTATGTTTTATTATTCTATTAATTTATCCGAATATTAATCAATAGGTAAGTTTTATTAATCTATTAATTTATCCCTATTTTATATACATTATTATTATCTAATGAAAAAAACAGTCTTGTCTAGTAGAAGAACGACAGTATCTAGCTTTATTTAATGGGCTTTAAAAATTCCAATGTTAACTATTGTTAGATGATTATGCAATGCTAATGAATTTATACAAGTTTTGTTGTTGTTGTTGTTTTTTAAAAATTAGCTTTACAATAATGTCAAGATAGAAAACGATATATGACATGCACAAAAAGATAAATTTTTAGTATGGTTATTGCACGCTACCTCACACACTGCAATTTGATAATGTTAGGACAGGTCATGACATTTTAGTTGCAAAACCTTACGAAATCGACGCCAGTTTAAATCAGCTTTTTCGAACACTGTCTATTTCACAACTGAATCTACAAATGTAGCCTACATAAAACCTAAAATCTCCACTTTACAAATGTAGATATACTAGCCACACAACAGGTGTATAAATACCAGTGGCGTAGCCAGGATGGTCTCATGGGGGGTGGGGGTTATACTTTCTTCCACCTTATATAGGCCTATATATATATATATATATATATATATATATATATATATATATATATATATATATATAGGCCAACAATACAAAACAATTTATCACTCTAAACAAAACAAGGTAATTAAAAAGTCTAGGGACAATTTTAGCGCAATTTCCTTATGTTATCTAAAAATAGCTCTGTCGTAGCGTAAATCAAGAGCAGGGTTAGTAAAACCATTGGTTAGTTATTAAAACGTTTTTTATTAATTTTTTTCAGTATTTTACATGTTTTATTTACAATAGAGTTACATAACTAAAAACCATTGCGCGCCTACTGAACGTGATGGCGCAGCCATGGAATGCGATGGCGCAGCTATTGAACGTGATGACGCGTGTGGTGTGGTTGGAAAAAATACCTACTAATTCGGTCCAAATTTTAATTAATTCAAAAAAATGTTTGTGGCCGAACGCAAGGATATTTTTGAAAACTTTCTTCGGCAATATTGTTCTAAATTATGGCAGGAATCGATTGGTACATGTTTCAAGTCGCTTAGTGGTCTGGTTGCCGAGATATGGGCCAAAAACTGAATTTTTTCGAGGTTTTTTGGCTTTTCCGGGAAATCCATGAAAGAAACCCGTAATTTTTATGGCCTATGTTCATCCTCGTAACTTGCTTAACATAATTGCTTTTGGAACTAGTCATCGATATTGCTTCGTTGAGGAGGAGATACGACTTAAAGCCCGGACACACATTCATCCATACATTCAAACATTCATCCATTCATTCATCCATCCATTCCCAGAAATGACGAGTTAATAAACGCAATTCTCCAGAATGGAAATTGCGCTAAAAATGTATATATACAATACAACCAAAAACAATTAACGCAACACCATCTGTTTTGAAATCCTTGTAAAAAAAACATCTTGACATACTGATTCCTAGAATGTTAATTAAGACAAGCAAACTAGGGGAAATAATCACTCTCTTAATATAACTATGTACATTTCTATAAATTTAAAGGTAAATGTCAAAACAGATCAATAATTACTTTAGTATGTAATGAAGTAGCTTAACACTATTTGTTTTTTTACAAAAAAACATAACAAATCTACATATACCACCCACACTCCACGTTACAAATCTACATATACCACCCACACACCACATAACAAATCTACGTATACCACCCACATTTCACATAACAAATCTACGTATACCACCCACATTTCACATAACAAATCTACGTATACCACATAACAAATCTACGTATACCACCCACATTTCACATAACAAATCTACGTATACCACTCACATTTCACACAACAAATCTACGTATACCACCCACATTTCACATAACAAATCTACGTATACCACCCACATTTCACATAACAAATCTACGTATACCACATAACAAATCTACGTATACCACCCACATTTCACATAACAAATCTACGTATACCACTCACATTTCACACAACAAATCTACGTATACCACCCACATTTCACATAACAAATCTACGTATACCACCCACACTTCACATAATAAATCTACGTATACCACCCACATTTCACATAACTAATCTACGTATACCACATAACAAATCTACGTATACCACCCACATTTCACATAACAAATCTACGTATACCACCCATATTTCACATAACAAATCTACATATACCACCCACACTTCACATAATAAATCTACATATAACACCCACACTCCACATTACAAATCTACATTTACCACCCACACTCCACATACAAATGTACATATACCCCCCCCCCCCCCCACACACACACACCCACACTTAACAAAGTGTACCTGTACTACAAAAGTCGTTATCTTTACAGCTGTGAGGCAGACGACGATACTCAGGGAATGAAAGCTCCGCCAATAACAGACGAGAGCAACGATGTCCATTATAGAAACATCTACTGTGCTATGTGCAACAACGTCACTCAGATGAGCATTTGGCTGGGTCTCCGCACGTGCAGTTCTACAAC